GGTCCACCTGCCGGTCGGAGCGGTGCGTGCCTCTTCCTGTGCGGCGGGAGGGAGGCCGGTGGTGGTGGTGGTGGTGGCAGCTTCGCGGCCCTGCCGGGAGGTGGGGTGTGGTGGTCGTGGTCACAGCGTGGCGCTGGCTGTCGCGACTTCCGTGGCCTTGCCGGCCTCAGTGTTGGGGGCTGTGATCTCCCTGCCAGCGAGTCTGATCCTGGCGGGGCCTTGCATGCAGCTTTTGTGGTGTCAGTGACGGCTCTGCGGGCTGGCCTGGCGTGCTGGCCGCCCTTGGGAGTTGGGGCCCTTGGTACGTACGGCCTTGATGGTGATGCTGTTGGCGGTGCGGCCCTGGTGGCCATCATCCTGGAGACTGCCTCGTGCGGCTCGGTGTCCTGCGGCCGTGGAGTTGCCCGCTAGCGAAGTACGTCGGTGTCCAGGCGTAGGTGTTCAGTTTGGTAGAGGGGAGTAACGAGTGCCGGAAGGGCTTTCCTGTGGTTAAAATACCAGCTTCTCTAATTTAGGGGTTGGCCACTAGCTTTAAACCTCCCAAATGTATTTGATGAATTCACCCTTAACAAGCAACACTAGGTTTTGAAAACTACCTTTTACCGACAGTGGAATGGAGAGGCTAAGAACACTGGGTTAGTAGCTTTTAAATTTTTGTTTGAACAATAACAGGCATGAGGCTAGAGTTAATATCGTTATTGTTCCTACACATGCAGGTTTTTTTTTTTTTGCAATTCTATGAGTTTTGACAAATGTATACTGTCGTTAAAAGCCCAACCTTTATCTTTTTTTTTTTTTGAGACAGGGTCTCACTATGTAGTTGAGACTGACCTGGAACTCACTGTGTAGCCCAGGTTGGTCTTGAACTTACAGCGATCCTCCTACCTCTCAGCCTCCCGAGTGCTGGGATTACCGGCGTGCGCCAACATGCCCTGTTTACACATTTTTGAGGAAATAGCACTTGTCTTTGGGAAGACAAAGCTATCTTTAGCGTTTAAAGTTGTTCATACTATAATTTGAGGGGTGCTTTCTATTTGACACCTCAGACATCTGGGAAATATCCTTTGTCATCATTGTAGGTTTGATTTCCAGGAGACTTAATGTTATAATCTGTGGGTCTCATTTTGTAGCATTAAACTACAGTTATGATGAATGATAGAGAATTTCTGCTAGAGTTGACATATTTCCTTTAAAACTGGTGGATCTAGTTCATTCAGTGAAAGAAGTATGAGATGTGTTCTTTTCATTGTAAGTGTAGATTAAACATTTCCCTATGTCAAGTTACTGTTTGGTGTTTCCTTTGGGGAAAGAGTCTGGGACTAAAATTAAGGGTGGTATAAGTGAAAACTCTTACTACTAATTGTTAGGCTATCTGGAGCCACTAGTAATACGATAGTGTCTAAAATTGTAGTGCTTGTTTGAGTATACTGTTTTGAATTTTTGTTCTTTTAAACTACATTCTCCCTAGATACTGGCAGTTTGGCTGTTCTTACATTACTTTTGATGCTTTATTTTTTGGTAATTTTTTTTTAGGATTAATGGAAAATTTCATTAAATTTGTTATGAAACTGAATTGTTTTTTCCTTAAAATTAAATGAGAAATGAGTTTCATTTTTGTTGTTTTTTTCTTGTAGAAAACTCCACCATACATTTTCTCCCCAATTCCATTTCTTGGGCATGCTGTAGCATTTGGGAAAAATCCAATTGAGTTCCTAGAGAATGCATATGAAAAGGTGAGTCTTCTAAATAATTAGAAAAAAAGAAACTAGTTTAGATAAGTGCTTTTCAAACTTTTCTTTTATATAGAAGAACATTTAAAAAATTGTGTCCTTATGATTATTGATAGTATAGAAAATATGAAATGGAACCTACCTTGGTTTAAGATTGGAGAGGTCTTGTAGACTGCCACTCTTTTTAGCTTCTGCTCATGTCCTGAGGTAGCCTGAGATGCACCCAAAGAAACCTGTAGTTCTGGCAATTACTGTTTAAAAAATACTGTTCTAAATTGATTATAGTTAAAATTGACCCTCATATTTCTTAACCTTACATCTCTTTTCTGTACCTCTCCTGTGACTTACTCTTCACTTGGGTGACCCATTGAGTACCAGTGAGCACTCAAATCCTTTCCTTTTCAATGAGATTTCTTGTATCACTTAAACCATTTACTCTTCAGCCCTCCTTTGAAGTCCAAAATACCTGAGGTGAATAAAGGAAGAGATTTTTACTTAGCTCATGCTTTCTGAAGTTTTAGCCCATGGTTGGTTGACTCTGCCAAAAAAACATCATACTGAAAAGGGCATGGTGGAGGAATGCTGTTCATTTTGTAGCAGCCAAAAAGCAGAGTGAGAGAGATTGTTCTGGTGGGCATCCTCCTCTTGCTCTTTTTGTTCCATCCAGGCCCTATTGGATGGTGCTACACTCGAGGTAGTTCTCAGCCCAGTTTGCTATCTCACTAATCTCTGGAACTCCCTCACAGATAATTCTCACAATTGTGTATACTGATTTCCTAGGTGTTTCTCAATCCAGTAAAATGACAGTGGTTAATCCTCACAGACTTGTTCCCTGTTCCACCTTGCAAATTTCTCTTAGTTTTTAAATTACTCATCCTCATTTGCTTGTGCAATGCCTTTAATTATAATCATTCTTGATTTCATTAGATCATCTGTTTCACTTTCCCACTTACTTTTTCCCACTTAGTTTTCTCCTGATCTGTCCGCCCTCTTTATTTTTTCTTTTTTTACTTTTGGTTCATGGTCCATCATTTCAGTTATATTCTTGCGAAGATCTTTAGTTTCCTTGCAGCTTGATTTTTTTGCTCATCTTACTTGGCAGAATTCCAAAGGTGGGAGGAGTCAGTTACTCATTTTTCTCCTTTCTTGTACCAGATTTTTTTCCTATTTCATGATTGCCTGCCTTGCATGAAATTTGGATACTACAGAACAATTCTGTTTTGTTCTTGTGATTGGCTGATTTTTTCCATTCATCTCAATAACTAGTTCAAGTCTTTACTTTTCTGAACTTATAAGTCTTAATTTTTTTTCTTTCTCTTTTGTTTTTTTGAGACAGGGTCTTGCTAGCTAGTTCAGGCTAGCCTTCACCTCACAATATAGCTCAGGCTGGCCTCAGCATCCTGAGTATTGGGATAATGGATAAGCACCACCATACCCAGCATAAATTTATAAATCTTTCTACCTTTCCATCAAAGCAAATGACTTTTGTTTTCTATTTAAAGATTGATTAGGGCCAGGGATTTAGCTCAGTGGTGCCGCTGCCTGTCTTGCAAGTACAAGGTCCCAAGTTCAATCCCTGGTACCAAAAAAAAAGAGAGATTAAAAACCATTCAGTGAGAGTTCTCTCATGTTCTCAGTTTTAGACATACAAAGCTGCTTGTCTCTGTGTTCTGTTGTCTTCCTATAATAGTGATAATAAAATTTACTGTGTGCTAGGATTTAGTGCTTTGCATAGATTATTCCACTGAATGTCCACCAGAATCCTTAATATGTAAGTTTTGTAGATAACAAAGTTGAGAAACAGGTTATATAATTTGTTCCAGGGCTCATTGCCAGCCAGTGCCCAAGCCAAAATTACACGTTCTGATTTCTGGGCCTATGTTTTGGTAATAATAATGATAGAAAAGAACTCATTTACTATGGCTGAGACACTCTTCAGTGTCCTTTACATATAATTTATATAATCTGTATTAACCAGCTCTATGAAGTGGGTGCTATTTTTCTTACTGTATTATAGATGAGGGAAACAGAAACACTGAAAGATTAAGTTTTCTGACTGTAGGACTAAAGTCACACTGATAAGTGGAGGAGCTGGGATTTGAACCCAGGCAATCTGGCGCTAGAATCTTATGCTCACTATATTCTACTACTTTAGTTTTGTGCAGTGTGCTGCCTCTTATTAGAAGATGAACTCTTCATTACTTTCTTTTGTCTTAGAAACCTTTTACTATCATTCTCTTAGTTGGATCTTTTTGTTTTCTTCTGAAAAATTCTCAAGTGTTGCTCATTAAGAAGTGAGACTGTTTTTCTATTTTTCCTTTCTATTCAGTAATGGGGATTGAACATAGGGCCTTACACACGCTAGGTGAGTTGACTAGCCTAATTATTTTTATTTTTCAGATTTTTGAGATAGGGTCTCCCAAAGTTGCCCAGGCTGGTCTCAAACTTCTGATCTTCCTGCATTTGTTCCCAGAGGAGCTGGGTTAATTAATAGGCAGGCACTGTCATGCCCAGTGCAGTGCTTCTCTTAAACATTTTGTCCCTCTTTGTCTGTGCTCGCTTTCTATATTTCTACAATTCCTGTAGAATTACTCTTCAGTTTGCTCAAGTCTCATCAGTAAACTTGTCCTCTTTGTTTCTTTCTAACTCACTTGTGGGCAGAGACCTGACCATTTATTGTTGGTGCGTGGTTACTGAGGTTAGTTATATCCCTTTATTTTATGTTTTGGAGACAGGGTCTTCCTATGTAGCCCAGGCTGGCCTTGAATTCACAGTGATCCTCCTGCCTCAACCTCCTGAGTGCTAGGATCACAGGCACATATATCAGCATGCTGGGCTTCTATCCCTTTATTTTCTAGGTAATTTTCTAGCTTCTCCCGAACACAGCCATATGTCGACGCCCAAATTAATGTTTGTGGCTCTGGTCTCTGAGCTAATGAACTGGATGTCCAATTCCCATATGATTCTCATTTATCTCAAAAGTAACTGAAATCCAGTACTTCTAATATTTGCTGATTTTTCTTTCTCTGATTCTGGGTATCCTATCTTATTCTTTTATCATTGCTTTTCTGGTTTTGCAGTGTACCAGAAATAAAATTCCTTTTTGATACTTCCTTCACTCTCTCAATCCATTGCCAACTCTGCAGACTGTCTCCAAAATAACTTAGTTATCTATTTGCTTCTATGACTGCTACCCCGCCATTACTTTGTACTAAGACCTTAACATATGGTTGTGCAGTGGGTTCTCGCTGGTCTTTTGGCATCTTTCTGCTCTTATCCCTCCATCCTTTGTGTATAGCAGTCAGAGGAATCTTTCTTTAAAATATACAAAGACTAATGTGTCTTTTCCACATAAAATAAACCTTGCCCCTTTGACTGTAAGCAAAAACTTCTTCAACCTGACTTACCAGACTCTATGGTGTAGGTTCTGCCTGACCCTTGACTCATCTCATCCTTCTTGCCCTCGTATTCAAGACCATTGTGCATGCTTGGTTGCCATCCTTCAGGTCTCAGTGCCGATGTCTTCCTCTTTAGGTCTGCTTTTCTGGTTATCTCATCGCAATTGTTTTTCTTTGTGTAGTATTTAACACCTGCAATGTTACATTTGTTAATGTATTACTTGATTTGTATCCTTTCAAAGAGATGGTTCTCTGTGAGTTAGGGACATTATTTTTGTTCATGATTATTTTCCTAAAGTGTAGTTGTCAACAACAACAACAATAATAAATGCATGCTTGTAACACTTAACAGGTGTACCGACAACAAGATGAAATCATTCAGTGTTGATGAGATCATATAAAACTGATAACACCATAAACTTCTTGTGTCTTCAAATAGTATGTTCTATAGAAAAGGATGTATCTTTTGGCTGCTCTATAAATTTATTTTCAGTTAAAGAGCAGAGGGTTGTATATTTAGAGATATTCATTACAGAATTATTTATTAAAGCAACTCTGGCAGCATTACCCATATGCCCAATAATGAAAAAGCAATTAAGTTATCATCTTGGTGTGTAATAATAGAAAACAGTAGATCACTAATGTTTAAATGATAGAAAATATTTTCAGTATTAAAAGTGGAAAAAAGAATAAACAGTTGTCTGAGTTCGATCCCCAGTACCACAAAAAAGAATAAACAGTTGTCTTTATACTGAATTTGCAACTAATTATAAATTTAGGTAAGTACAAGAACAGTTAGTGTGGCAAGTTGCAGAGAATTGCTTTAAGATGTATGAATGTTTTATTTTTTTGGCCATGTATTATATGATTTAAGAAGTTTTTTTTTTTTTTTTTTTTTTTTTTTTTTTAAAAAAAGTTTTTTTTTTTTTTTTTTTTTTTTTGGTAACATCACCATGAGTGCTTTTCTCTCTTTAGTATGGACCGGTTTTTAGTTTTACCATGGTGGGCAAGACGTTTACTTACCTTCTGGGGAGCGATGCTGCTGCATTGCTTTTTAATAGTAAAAACGAAGACCTGAATGCAGAAGATGTCTACAGTCGTCTGACAACACCGGTGTTTGGGAAGGGAGTCGCATATGATGTGCCTAATGCAGTAGGTGACACTGTTATTTTGAATAAGGACAAATCTATACTATAATATTTATAACTAGTAGTGTAGTATTACACACTTACAATGTAAAAACAATTTATTCCTTGGTTCAAAAAATCTGGAAGTGCATGAGACATATGAAAGGAGAAAAACTGTGCTAACTGATAAGGAATGTGTATTTTATTTTATATTTGCTGGCATAGCCTAAATAATTTTAACAGGCTTCCTGTACAAAGAAATGAAATCAGTGATAAGAGCATATTGGGATTTGATTTGAGAAAGTAATAAGGAAATACCATTATTTCATTAAAAGGGTTTTCTTCCTACCTACCCTGAAATTCTAGCATAAGAGTTGTGAATTAGAAATTGCTGACTTCAGATATCCTCTTTCTTATGCACTCCTTAGGTATAGTGCATGTTTGTTGTGTGTTTTTCTCTTCTAAAGTTAATTTTTAAAGTATAAGTTGATATAGAACATCACCTAGATAACCAGCTCAGGTGCTTGGTGAACTTGGCTAACACATAACCCAGTCCCCAAGTGTCTTAGTTGCTTTTTTCCTGGCTGAGACAAAATATCTGACACCCAAAGATAAAGGAGAAAAGGTTGATTGGGCTTACAGTTTGTAGAGATTTCAGTCCATAGCTGGCTGGCTCTAAGGCAGGGTGTCATGGCAGAGTGGCATCAGAGATGAGAAATAGCCCACAGTAAGCAGGCAGATAACAAGGGCACATTAACATTCTTTCTGTCCCTTATATTTTATGCAGGCTGCCTGCCCTAGGGAGAGTATAGCACTCACACCCTTAATTCTAGCCAGAACTATGCCAAACCTTTGTTCAGTGGATTGATTTAGTAATCACACTCTAGATTCAGCCAACTGAAAAGCCCTCGTCTCTCCATGGCTTCGTGAGGCTTTGGGGGAGTATCTAGACACAAGCCATAACCTCATGTATAGCAGTTAAATGTAGACTTTCAGTATCATTCCTGGAAGTGGGGAGAATGAATGACTGCTCAAGACCAAAAGCAAACCCCTTGGGGATGGTAGGAGGGGGTGAAGGCAGGGCAGGGACAAGGGGAAAAGTGAGAACCAAGACCTATCATATAAAGGTACAAGATCCCAATGATGAATGTAACTGTACTGTGTACCTAAAATGTACCAATAAATTCAATGAGGTAAAAAAAAATGTTACAGTATTAAAAAAAAAAAAAGTAAACCCCTCAGAAAATCTCTTTGCTTAGGTTTGGTTTATCTACTTATTTTTCTTCTCCCATTTTATTAGACTCTTAAAATATAATTCCCCCAAAGGATTAACCATTAGTTGTCTTTGTGTAAATTTATTTTTTTCAGATTATATTCTCATTATATTCTGGAAGATAGTATCAGTGAGGAATATTTGTTTGGAAATGGAGGAGAATAAAAGTTAAAGTGGATTAAAAATAGAATGAAACTATAATGGACCTTCAGGAAATTGTATTGTTATTTGAGTTGGGTTGGAAGACTGGAAGTCAAACAGAATAGGAAAAGGAAGATGTGGAGTTAGGACTGGGAAAAGGGTAGGTAGGAAGGAAGGCAGGGTGTGAGCTTCCTACTTTATTCATCTAGGACCCTGGTAGGAGACACTGACCTCCACATTACTTCAAATGAATGCATAGATGCTCTTAAGTTGCCATCTCTGCTATAGTTTTAAAAAACTCTTTTACTATTTTTTTCAATTTGTCAGGATGCTTTCTTTGAGTGTTATACAGTTAGAATTAACGAATTATGATGTAACAAACTTTTTAATGCTGTATAACCTTGTTTTTATTTTAGATTTTCTTAGAGCAGAAGAAAATATTAAAAACTGGACTTAACATTGCCCACTTTAAACAGTATGTTTCTATAATTGAAAAAGAAACACTGGAATACTTTCAAAGTTGGGGAGAAAGTGGAGAAAAAAGTAAGCAAAATGTTTTACATTTGTCCTGTTATTTCTACTTGTCTGATTAGAAATCTAGAGAGAGTAATATAAAACAGCATATATATGTAGATATATGTATGTAGAATTACCTTGGTTTTAATGAGAATGATGTGTTTTGCTTTCCAAGGAGTTGTTACCGTGAATCAAGTTTTTTACTAGACTGCAGTAAGGTATTCTTCAGAGGTGATTGCCCTCCCTGGAGCAGGGAGCAATATTTGCTCACAGGACAGCCAGGGCATCACACTCTGTGGGTGAGCTTCAGCTTCCCTGAGAAGAGTAGGAGCCTGATTTTATTTTTACCCTTAAAGTTGATGTGATGTATTTTCTAACCATACAAAAAGCTGATGTGCAAATTAGAATGCCAACTTAGTAAATATATGTGAATATATGTTTATAGCAGTCATAGACCAGTGTATTAACGATCTTCTCCCTTTTGGCAGTCTAATTGGAAAGCCACATGTTAATGGGATGTTCTTTTAATTACTGTAGAATGAAAGAACAGGAAATTAATTGGGTAGTTTTTAAGACTTAGGCATGATGGTGCACGCCTGTAATCCTAGCACTCGGGAGGCTGAGGCAGGAAGATCACTGTGAGTTGGAGACCAGCCTGGGCTACATAGTGAGTTTCAGGTGAGTCTCAACTACATAGTGAGACCCTGTCTCAA